GGTTGCGATCCGTTGCCGGACACGGAAAAAGACAAAAAGACAAAAAAAAAAAAAAAAAGCATTATTTCTGCCACTCCAGAATGTATTATTACCATCTGCCGCATGGTTGCCAGAAAAATCAAAGGAGGAAATCCTCAGAGAAATTCAGAAATCATTCTCTTAAGTCTACTGAGCATGCTAACCAAATTAGTACCTTCAACCTTCATCAACGATAGAAATTACCATCATTAAGCCATAGTCAACTAATACGGATTTAGGGAAAAAGGAGGTGGATTGTTAGGATCGCATAGATCAATTCATTTGACCAAGAAATTAAACTTTCGCTGTACACCAAGATGCAGTTTGAACACCCAGGCTAATTGTCCATGTCCTCAACCTTACTTTGGGTACTAAGCAGAGTTGTATGTATGTTTGTATGAGATTTTTGCAGCTGAATAAAGGATTGAATCCAAGTGTACTCTCTGCAAATTGTTCTATTTATATTCAAAATATTTCAAATTTTATTCTTTCCTCTGTGAAGGCCCATCCAAAGAAATAATTACAAAACCAATAAGGTTTTAAAAATAAGTACAGAAAATAAAGTACTTTTCTCTTGAGACTTCTGCACATCAGTGGTGACTGTTGGGAGTTCCTTCACTGATAAAGCCAGTGCAACTTCTAAGTCTCTCTGGTAGAGCTTGTCATCTAAAGCCATCCTAAAACAGACATACAAATAATAATGAGTTTTTAAAAATATCAATCTCAACTAAAGAGCAAAGCTTGAGATTTTCCTAAATTACTATTTGAGTTGCTAATGTCACAAAAATGTTTTTAAACAATAATCATCATTAATTGACCTTTGACAGTAAGACTTCCAAAATGTAAAGATGTCATGTTAAACATAGCAAAACAGGTTTGAAACAGGAGCAGCATGTATCTTTGCATTACTGTTTCCTTTAATTGTAATGTCTCTCCTTACTACCAGTTTTACCTAGGTGGGAAGCACCTGCTCAGCCTAAAACAGATGTGGTTCAAACATCAATTCCAAGCAATCCTGAGCAAAAAAAAAGCCAGAGACATAATACTACCCAACTTCAAATTATATCACAAAGCTATTGCAACCAAAGCAGCATGGTACTGGCCTAAGAACAGATACTCAGACGAATGGAACAGAATAGAAAACCTGGAAATCAACCCACATACTTACAGCCAATGATCTTTGACAAAGGTTACAAGAACATACATTGGGGAAAAGACTGCCTCTTCAATAAACGGTGCTAGGAAAATTGGACATCCATATGCAGAAGAATGAAACTAAATCTGCACCTCTCACCATATACCAAAATCAACTCAAAATATATTAAGACTTAAGTGTAAGACCCAAAACCATAAACTACTAAAAGAAAACATAGGGGAAACACTTCAGGAAGTATGACTGGGCAAAGACTTTACGAATAAGACCCCAAAAGCACAAGCAACAAAAGAACAAATAAATAAATGGGATTATATGAGACTAAAAAGCTTCTCCACAGCAAAGGAAATAATCAACAGAGTGGAAAGACAACCTACAGAATGGGAGAAAATATTTGTAAATTATATATCCGACAAAAGATTAATATCCAGAATATATACGGAACTCAACTTCACAGTAAAAAAACAAACATTCCTATTTAAAAATGGGCAAAGGTGGGCCGGCCCAGTGGCGCACTGCTACAGTGTGCCTCTTGGGAGAGCAATGGCGCTCCCGCCGAGGGTTCGGATCCCACATACAGACCAGCCGCTCACTGGCTGAGCGAGGTGCGTGCGCATGCCGGTCCCGGTCCGGTACGGGTGCGACACTGAGGGTTGCGATCCGTTGCCGGTCATGAAAAAAGACAAAAAGGAAAAAAATAAAAATAAAAATAAATAAATAAATAAATTAAAATGGGCAAAGGAGCTGAATAGGCATTTTTCAAAAGAAGATATGCAAATGGCAAAGTGGTACATGAAAAAATGCTCAACAATCACTCAGCATCCAGGAAATGCAAATCAAAACCACACTGAGATATCATTGCACCCAAGCTATACTGGCCATTATTAAAAAGACAGAGAATAACAAATGCTGGCGAGGATGTGGAGAAAGGGGAACCCTCCTACACTGCTGGTGGGACTGTAAAATAGTAGTTTTATAAAGAACAGTATGGAGGTTTCTGAAACAACTACAGATAGAACTACCATATGATTCAGCAATCCCACTTCTGGGTATATACCTAAAGGAATGGAANTTTGCTAATCAAAACTATTTCATTTATTTTTAAATAGGAGGCTATTGCTTTAAAAAACAAACAAAAAACCCCAACTATACCGCTAAATAAGATAATGGACTAAAATATCTCTCAACATAAAAGAATTTAATCCAAAACAATTCAATTCAAAAGCATTATTTCTGCCACTCCAGAATGTATTATTACCATCTGCCGCATGGTTGCCAGAAAAATCAAAGGAGGAAATCCAGAGAAATTCAGAAATCATTCTCTTAAGTCTACTGAGCATGCTAACCAAATTAGTACAGAAATCATTCTCTTAAGTCTACTGAGCATGCTAACCAAATTAGTACCTTCAACTTTCATCAACGATAGAAATTACCATCATTAAGCCATAGTCAACTAATACGGATTTAGGGAAAAAGGAGGTGGATTGTTAGGATCGCATAGATCAATTCATTTGACCAAGAAATTAAACTTTCGCTGTACACCAAGATGCAGTTTGAACACCCAGGCTAATTGTCCATGTCCTCAAGCTTACTTTGGGTACTAAGCAGAGGTGTATGTATGTTTGTATGAGATTTTTGCAGCTGAATAAAGGATTGAATCCAAGTGTACTCTCTGCAAATTGTTCTATTTATATTCAAAATATTTCAAATTTTATTCTTTCCTCTGTGAAGGCCCATCCAAAGAAATAATTACAAAACCAATAAGGTTTTAAAAATAAGTNTAGCCAAAATATGGAACCAACCCAAAAGTCCATGGATGTACAACTGGATAAGAAAAATGTGGTATATATACACAATGGAATACTACTCAGCTATAAAAAAAAGAATGAAATTCTGCCATTTGCAGCAACATGGATAAGCTGTGGATAATTATGTTAAGTGAAATAAGCCAGACACTGAAAGAGAAATATCGCATGTCTTC